CCCGACACCAGCGACGGGAGCGCCCTGAGCGCCGCGCCGGGATGCGCGTCCTCCCGGGGAAGGCGGAACAGAAAGAGGAAGGAGAAAGGCTGGGAGAGGCAGGGAAGGCAGAACAAGGCAAATAGGGAAGGAAGAGAGGCAAAGGGAAGTGGCGCTGGCCTATGCGGCCCTCGCACGGATGCCAAATGCAGCACTAAGAGGCTGCCTCCACAGTGAGTAAAAGTGCTCCTACCTCACAAGGGTGCCATTTGTCCTTTAGTCACTGTGCGAATCCCCCAGGACCTGGAAGATCTGGTATCGATCAGGTATAAAAAACTGAATTTAGACCTGAGCTCAGTGGCTGTATTTATCTGCCGAAGCGGTGAGCCTGGCACCCTAATGCAGAACAGCTTTTCCCACTCGCTCCATAACGGTCATAAGTGCTTGTCAGCCAGGCCGGTGCAGGAGCCCTCTGCTGTGGGGTGTGAAGGCAGGGGAAGTGCTTTGGGGGAAAACACCGGTGGCAGGAAGGGCTGTAACCCACTTGCAGCCTGGTTCATGCAGAATCATGCAGTTAAAGGCAATTTCTAAGAGTCCTTCTGCCAACAGTGGTGGCTGTAAAACCGTACTTGACTTAAGTTCAGAAAAGTACTTTTCACTCACCCCCATACTGTGAGATGTTGTTGGTAGCGCAATGCCTGGGCACAAAGCAACACATCTGGTGCTGGAGCAGAGCAGAGCATCTGCCTCGCGCCAAAAGCTGCTCCAGGCATCGCTTTGCTTTATTTCCCTTTAGTTACAAGTATTTTAGATTTCAGCTGCTAACCTCAGCGACAGCCAGGTAGTTTCTTGGGCAGAAAATGCCCAAACTGAGCATTGCCCAAGCATGGAGCGGAGCCATGTCCCCTTTCTCCTGGCACCAGCATCTCATGGCAGCGCAAATGTCCCTCTTACCACCAAGGCTGTGCAATGTCTCCCAGGCCCTGGGAGAGCTTAGCTTCGTGTTTCTGCTTCTTCTCCCATACAGCTTGGGTTTTTCTTCTTTTTAATCTGCAGATAACGGGTCTGGTGTTTGCATATTCTTTGGATTAAAAAAAATAAACATTCTCACTCTTTTCTGCTGTTCCTATGGCTTTTTATGTAGGAGCAAGGAACAGAGAATGAAATAGAAGAAAATATGGTTTAGAGCAATATCCCTTGGCAAGATAACTGGAGGTGGAAATCTGAAAGCTCCGAAGACATAAAAGACATAAAAGTCATCACAGACAAGTTCTCTGACTACATTAGAACTAAGAGGAAAACCAAAATGAGCCCAAACATTTTATTTAATCAATAACCAAGTATTCAGTGCCTTTTTTCCCCCAGTTCTAATAAGCAAGGACTAATTGTGACAAGACACTTGAGGAACAGAGGTCAGAATTCATCCCCCAGGCTGAATTCATCCCCGGGTGCCCCGAGCCCTGCAGGGGGTCAGCAAGGGCAGCGGCGGGCGAGCACGGCCGCGGAGCTGGGGCCAGGGCCGAGCCGGCGGCAGCGGCTGAAGCCACCTCTGGTGCTTTAGTCATTATTTGAAAAACCCAATAGGAAACGGATATACCCCATAAAAAGGAGCCAGGTCACAAGGAGGGTTTCCAGTCTCCTTGTGGCAGGATTCAGCTCCCATCACGCAGCAGAAACACTCAGTACTCAAGCAGGAGACAGAGTGGGATACACAGCCAGGGCAACACAGGCCAGAGAGGCCTCGGCGCCGCCTGTGCGCGTGTGTGGCGATGGCC